GCGGTGGTGCCTGCGTGCCTACGCGTGTGTACGTGACTACGAGCGTGTACTGCTCGCCACTAGCGTGTGTACTGGTGTTCGTAGAGCGCTGCGGTGGTTGCGGATATCTAACATCGTCGCGTCGTGTCTGCGTGACTAACGCGTTGTGTGTGTGATACGCGTGTGTGCGTGACTACGCGTGTGTACGTGGACTACGCGTGTGTGCGTGTGTGTAGTGGACTCGCGTATGTGCGTGACTACGCGTGTGTGCGTGTGTGTGTGTGACTACGCGTGTGTGCGTGTGTGTGTGTGACTAGCGTGTGTGTGTGTGCCTACGCGTATGTTGCGTGACTTACGAGGCGTATGTGTGACACGCGGTGGTATGTGACTACGCGTGTGTGAGTGACTAGCGTGTGTGCGTGCCTACGCGTGTGTAGCGTGACTAGCGTGGTGTGCGTGCCTACGCGTGTGTCACGTGACTAGGTGTGGTGCGTGAATAGCGTGTGCCGTGACGCGCGTGTATGCGTGCCGCTGCACGTATTTTGTTCGCTACTCGTAATTCGTGTGGTGTGATGTGGGTGGTGTGTGTGTGTGGTGTGTGTATGTGTGTGTTGTGTTGTCGTCATAGGTAGACGTCCTGTAGTCAGCTGTTTTGGTAACCTCGTGTTGATGGTGATAGTGCTGTGTCTGTGTTTGCACAGTGTCGTGTCGCATGTGTGTGTGGTGTGTGGTGGTGCGTTGTGTGTGTGCGTGCGTAGTGCTCGACTACGACTTTGTATCTGTAGACCGTGACCGGCGTGTATGGGGCGTCGAAATCACGTGTGTGCGAAGCTGACGTGGCATGAGTGGTTTTGGCGAGTCGCCTGTGTTCAGGGGCGGGGGCGAGATGCGCAAGTGACCAAAAAGACAGACGACGCTCACCGCCTTCGTGACGCGTGTATGATGATTGTCGTGTGGTGCGTGAATCGCACGCGCGTGCCGTGATTGTTTTGTGCTGGCGTCGACGCGAGCATGGGCGTGACGCGTGCCGCGTGGGCGGCGTGCGGTTGTGTGGCGTAGGACGTTGTGTGTGACGCGGCGTGACGTGTTGCGTAGCTGAGGGCAGGTTTGGAGGGTACCCGGGGCGTGATGGTGAATGTACTCATGCGCGTGTGTGGTTGTGATACAGTCGATAAATGTATGTGTTGACGCGCGCAGACGTGGTTGCGTGACCAGGCCGCGATGGGTTGTGCGGTGCAAGCTTAGAGCGCGTATTAAGTGAGTGGGCCGTGTTGGCACGACAGTCGTGACCTTACGGCGTAGCGTGGTCAGCGGTACACAAAGAAATTGGAACAAAATCACAAGAAGCAGTTATGCATGGATATGAGCGTGCATCGATGCAGTCATACTATGCATCATGGCATCAGAGCTCTTGACCAGTCAACGCGAGACGTCGAGGTCTATTTGCTCTCCAACATTAATGGCGTCAGTACGTGGTTACTAGTACGTTCGCCCGCTGTCCTTCGCCTACAGCAACGTTAGTAGTTTTCCATATTCGATCGGCGCGCCGCCCTTCGATGCGTCTAGATGTGATTGGCGCGTGTACATGTGTACCCGTCAACCACATTAAACGCACGCAGCGCCGCGGCGCGCAAACCGCGCACGGGGTAGGCAACGCAGGAGTGTTTCGAATATGCTGTTCTATATCGGGTTCAATCGATGAAATCAACTATCTGTTTTCTCTCTATACTATATATATAATAGCGGTTTATTCATATTATTCATATTCCTTATAGATTCATATATCTAATATATAGGCATCACTGCTCTATATATAAATATATTTATATATTTTCTTTTTCTCCGACTGCTCCCTCTTTCTATTTTTCTCTCTTTCTCTCTCTTCTCGTCCTCAATCTACTTTTTCTCGTTTCGGTCCACGATAACTCAGGAACCCGGTTTCGGCCCACGATGTTTGTCACATATAATCTCATTCTCGGGGTATAGTTCTGTTGATCTCTCTCTTCTCTCTATATTAGCTTAATTGACTCCCTATATATTATATAACGGCCTCTATTTGTGCTAGTCATCTCGGTATATCTACTTATATTATATTATACGTCATGGTTCTCTCTCTTCCTCGCGTCTCGGCTTCTCGGCTCTCACGCGCTTTCCTTCCTCTCTAATTACCGCTCTATGTGTGTGCAGCCTCCTCGTGCTCGTGACGGTGAATATTTAGTCGGTGGTACACTGACGGTTCTCCTACCTGTAGCATGTCTTGAGAAGGGCGCGGCGGTTCTGTCACTTGGTTGTAATAGATGGTGGTCGGTTGTCAACTGTAACGCCGGCGACGCCCCGTGTATGAACTGTCGTTCGACACCCCGTGCGCTATCTCTAAACGTAAAACAGGTAAGCATCGAAGGCGCCTGATTGGAGGCGAGGGACTGCACGTGGTAGTGACTGACGTGTCTGTAGGGGGCCGCGACAAGATTTACGGTTTTTTTTTTTTTTTTTTTTTTTAGGTTCTTTTGTCCTCGTTATTAGCGCGGCCGGCGCATCGCTGTTACTTCCTCTCGGGAGACACAAGCCTAGTCGACGTTACTTTCGAGCCACGGCAATTTTTTGGCAAAAATGGGAATGTTGCCATTAGTCAGTTCTAGGTTTACGGATTTCCTCATTTTTTGGTATGTGAATGAATAAGGGCTAGGGTTTTGATATTTAAAAAAAATTATGCAAATTAGGCTAGCGGGTTTGGTCAATTATAAAGCATATTATATAGACACAAACAGCTGTGGTGTCATCAGAACTCCGTCGGTTCATTTTACAAGATTTCATCTGACAATATCTTTTAATGCAAAATGATATTTCCTCTCCACCCGTGCGATAAAACGTCTATATTAGAGTAAAGATTTACAAAACATGTCGGAACGCAGCCCATACGCTCATTTTATTTCAACGCGCATTCGCTAGCAAAGCGGGTATAGCACCATCCTACGGTCACAAATTGTGATTCATTTTGGTTTATAGATTATTATGCGATATAACAGATAGGCAGATCGTGTTGTCTATAATGTACGTCGATGGTTGCTCATTAAAAACTGACTTCTTCTTACTGCACTCATTTGTGTTCTTTTTGCTGGTGAGTCTAGCAGAGTCATTGACACTTCATTATCATGTAATAATCCTCTCCTATCCAAAATTATATTTCAATTTCCCAACTATGTTACCCTGAAAGTTGACCTCCACTTCGCTAGCTGGCTTTGAGCGCTCACTGTTTATCACACACTATCATAAAGTAATGAGTTCCATCTTGTTATTATCTATAGTAGAGATCGGACGGCACTAGAGAGGAATGGTTTGGGGTTTTGGCGGCGCGATTAAAGTGCTCCTTAAGCCTGTATCCTGAATTGACGACCCCGCACTCGCAAAGGACTGAGGACCACAATGTTTTCCGTTCTCTCTAACAGCCCATATTGGAAGCCATAGCAGCCTGACACGATTCAGGCCACCGAAACGGCATTGTGATACGAGAGTGAGTGCCGCGCCCTTGGACGAAACGTGATCAGACATCACCTGGCCACGATGTAGGAAGCGTCACTTTTGTGTGTCGGAAATGGAAGCGGAACGGAATGAAGAGGGTTCTGGTCACGAGAATGTGCTTCCAACTGTTTAATGTTTAGCGGGCTTCCTTCAGCTGATATATTGAGGAGTTAGTGTTTGGCCGTGGAATTTTGATTGTAAGTCTGGCCCGCAATATGCCTTTAGAAGTTTCCTGGGGCGAGAACTACTGTATTTGTTTAGTTGTGTTTCTGAGCTGTACTGGATTTGGTGAGAGGGACCTGTTGGAAAACTGTGAGGTAACCATCATACCGACGCACATGAAAAGATGTGACTCGTGACCACACGTTTGCGGAGAAAACATCAACAGATCCGAAATTTTAGGGAACCTGTAAGCAGTAACACCTGGAATAGGCAATGAACACACTGAATGGTTCATGAAGCCATGGAACAGTCCCCAATAAACCCATGGAACGGTCCCAATACCCAAAGAGTGTCGCCATATACCGTGGAACAGGTATAGAGAAAATGTGACCTAGTAATCAAGCATTAAAACTGCATAGGCATGAATCAAAACATTAGTGAATGACGATGGATGTCGCAGAGCAACGGATCTACGATATGTATCCAGCTGTCGCACAGGGTTTTATCAAACAGTATTCCAGTATGTCATCTATGTCATTCTTTAGTATTTAATTCTGTTGTGTTAATGCGTTTGTTATGCCGTATTATTTCATGTTAGTAAGTGTGTTCGTACAACTGTATTTAAGCGC